TTTTTAACATATCATCTATGCTATAACATTTCATGAACAATATTTGAAAAGTTCATCTTTCATATTATTATTATATTTAAAATTTGTTAAATTTAATATCATTCTATATCTTTATGAAATTATATCCCATATAAACCATATATATAGAAACAAACTCCATATATCATAAGTAATTTAAAAATAATATTAAATTATTATTTGATTATAAATTTAATTATTATTTTTAAATTAAATATTACAAATGACATATATTAAATTAACTTTGATTTTAATATTATTTATTTATATAAATATTATTTTTAATTTTATTTTCAGAAAATATTTTTATTGAAAATAGTATTTCTATTTACAAATGTAAAAGATAAGCAATATCTAGATAACTTAGTAAGACATATATTTTTAAAATTTTATAAAAAATATTTAAATAAGTCATTTATTATATTATATTTTATAATTTTACTTGCATGTGAAAATAATAAAATAAATTCTTCAATAGATCAAAATAATCTTTTAAAATTCAAATGCATCTTTCATGATAAGTACATTATTAATTGTATTTAATGTTTTTTAATTGACATATCAAATGCAAAATCTATAACTAGATGTAATCCAAATACATGATTTGAATTGAATGAAATTATATACTAATATCTTCATGGATGAAGCATGTGTGATTTTTTCAGAAATATTTTTAGAAATTTGATTTGCAAATGATATCGTAATAGAATATCAAGCACGAGTGTGTAATCTTCGTCTGCACAATTTTGGATTAGGCATGTGTTGTTGTTTGGAGACACTTTTGGAAATTTGATTTGCAAATGACATCGTAGTAACCTAGCAAGCACAAGTTGGTTATCTTCGTCTGCACAATTTTAAATGAAACATGTGTGGTTGTTCGGAAATACTTTTAAAAATTTGATTCTCAAATGATATCATAGTAACGTAACAAGCACGAGTATGTAATCGTTGTCTGCAAAATTTTGGATTAAGCATGTGTGGTTGTTAAGAGATACTCTTGTAAATTTGTTTTACACATGATATCCCATTAATGAAGCAAGTACGAGTTGGTTATATTAGTGTTCACAATTTAAACACAACAAATGAGTTGATGTATACAATATATAATACATTTTTCATCGCTAAAGATCATTGAAATAAAAATTACTTATGAATTTTTTTGATGTAAGTTAAAATTAATTTGTAATTACTAAAATAAATTAATGTATAAATATTCAAATTTTGAAAATAAAAACAAAAAAAATTTTAATTCCTTAAAAATGATTTATATTATAATTTATGAGTTGTTTCATGTATGCAATTACTTTGTAATCTTATATTTTGGCTAAAAAAAATATAAATGGTTTAATAAATTTTTAATTTTATTATTCATTATTTTAATTTTAATAATATTTTACAAAATATTTTTTAAATATTTTTTCAATAAGAATTATATATCAAAAAATTATGTATTTTTTATTTTATAAAAATAGTTATAAATAATATTTGCATTCATATTGCATAAATCATATATATGTTATAAAGATTTTGATATTATTTATTAATGTCAGTCTAATTGATGGGAATCTTAATTTTATATGTTTTAAATGACATTTATTCAAAATAGATTTCTTATTTGGGATTTAAATTTTGATTTTCATTATCTACTTTTTTAAATTTGATTTTATCCCGTGCATGGTGTTGTAATTTTACTTAAAAGTTGAAAATTGAATATAAATATTATATATAAAATATTTTTTATTATAAAATTGCTTTAAATCATTCTTATTTTTACTTTCTAACATTTTTATGAAATAAACTTTTTTGGGTTAAAATATCTATTTTCAGTTGCAATTTATTGTATCAAATTTATATCAAATTTATCAAATTTATTGTATTTGTAGTTCATCTTGTTCAATCATCAAATGAAATAGTAGAAAATATGAAAAAACTTACTTAATGTAAATTATAAATTTTATTATTTTTATGTGTAAAACCAATGTCAAAAGTCAAAGTTACTAAATTTTTATGTTGTTTTGAAATGTTGATGAAGAATATTTAATTTTTTCATATCATATTTTAAAAATCAAATGAATATCTTTATCGCTTCTTCTCGGCTACGAGACTCGTGACCGACAACAGGAGATAGCACCCTACTCCCTAGTTGGTGAGAAATTCAACGGAGTCATAGCACAACAGAGCATTCAAGCTTCCGACCTACCATACCTACTTTAGCTTTTGTGTTTGTAATTGGTGACGTGAAGTTCATGGAAAAGGTGAGAAAGATATTGAAAGTTGGTAAAAATTGAAAGACTCGGCGAGTCGCGGTAAAAATTTTGTTCTGACATGTCATATGATTGTTTTAATAATTTGTGTGATCGTTTTAACATTTCATTAAATTTATACATTATATCAAGAACTAAACAGTGTCAAAAGCATGATTGGCAAAATCATATATTACATTATTTCACGTCAAAAACAATATTTTATAGTCGATAAAACATCATAATGTCAACATGTTTATTATGTATATTTTACCCTCTTATATATACTATAAATTTGAAATTTTGAGATTTTTCAGATGTTGATTTAATTACTTTTAATATATCTATGATCAAATTTAGATCAATGATGATTAATTTATGTTATTATAACTTAAAAAAACAATTTTTTTCTAAGTTTTGGGTTTGATGTCCGATATGTTTGAATTGAATGTTGTTACACAAATTTTTTTAAATGAATATTCAAAAATTTTCAAATGGAATTCAAAATGAAAAATGATGTAAACATTTTTATTTATATGCAATCTATTTTATTTTTTGTGTCATCTTAAATTTTGCTCATGAAATTTGTTAAATTTTAGTTGTAACTAACAATTTAATTCAAAAAAATTCATTATGTAAGAACATGATTGATGATTGCTTTGAAATAGATCAAATCAAATTGAAAACTAACCAAACTCTTCAAAAATATATTTCCGTATCTTATGACCCCTATTGATTATTTGGGTCTCACGGGCTTGATCTATTTACATAATGTTGAATATATTCATGAACATTATAATTTTTTATTATAAGATTTGAAAAAAACTTGTTTTAAATATATATAATGATAAACTAACAATACGATGAATGATTTGAAATTTTTTTGAATTGAAATGATTAGATGTTTAAATGTATTGCAAATTAAAATATTTAGCTGAAAACAATATGTGAGAACAAGATTTATTAGATAAAATATTATTATTTAGTACTCTTTAAATTCAAAGAATGTTATTATGGATAAGTTTGTATTCTTTCATTCTAATGATGAAATCTTCTGAAAAAGATTTCATCAAGAATGTTGATTTCATCCAGATTTCATCGGAAGACACTTTCTTGGAGCATGTTGAAAGTAATAATATTATATAATTTAAAATTTTGAATGTGCCTAATCGGTTTCAATACATTAATATTTGAATGATAAAATTAAGATTTATTGTACTATATTAATGAAAAATTTTACCTGTTAAAAGGGTAAAAAATAGGATAATTGAAATTTTAAAATCTAAATTTTACACATACATGTGTAGACTACATTCTATGAGCACAGGTCATAGAGCTCACAATATTCGTTTCAATGTTCACTCGTTGTAATTTTCGTAGTTATTCTATTTTGAATATATCAATAGGAAATCTGGCTAGTAGCTCATGGTCCATACGACCTTCAAGAGGATCAGTCCTTTCGCCTAGGTAGAGGCACCCATATTTGAATAGTTTGTTATTCGTGGAGAATATAATTTAATCCAAAATGTGACAGCGTTGTAGCACTCTAGTATAACATTCTACTTCGAATCTTTTATTGTAAGCGAGCAGAAATTGTTCCTAATTAATCGGTCGTAAATAAAGAAATTGTTTCGTCAAGGAATTTGCCCTCTACTACATTCGTTGTCGATGTAAAGCAGAGCGAAGAATTTGGAGGGAGAATGGAAGCCAATGAGACTGGTTCGGATATGAGCAATGTGTGTAGAATGGGACGAGTCGCGGGAAGAAGGCGAGCTCGATGTGCAAGAGGAATGGCGTAAAAGTGGGAGTGAACTGAGACGAAGACCGGGCGAGAGAGGAGGCTGCCAGTCCCTTCAAGACAACGAACCATAACGGAAGAGATACTCCCAAATCATGGAGAGCTCGAAAGGCTTGTTGTGGGAAAGATACGTGAACATGCCCATGATGTGTTTCGTCTGGGGCAGGTGTACTCCGAGGTGCGAATCCAGCAAATCTTTTCTGGTGTGGAATGATAGGACACAGCTATACTGTTTCGCTTTCAGGCCCCCATAGGTTAGTTCGACTCCACTTTGTTGGCCCTCATTAACGACGCTGTGCTGGGACTTAATGGGCCTGATCATGCAAATTCCTGTCGAGAAAGCGTGATTAGACAATATTGATTAAGATCAGCAGACTAAGCCTGCCACATCACCGTCGGCCAATCTAATGCGCTATGGCTCCTCGGGGATTTATGACACGCATGCGATGGAGATATATGCATGCTGCCGCCCTCGCTGTAGCGGAGGAACGATGTTGTTCGCGTTTTCCTCCGTTGTGAAAGAGATGTAGTGCGCGGGTTCACGGTGTCTCGTCTTGTTCTGGCGATGGAGATCTGCGCTCGATGGCAGTCGATGCCACCCACTATTAAGATTTTCTCAGGTGGGTTCGCCACTGTCCTTCGGAACAGTCACAGTGCGTCTGTCTGTCGCCATCGCCCCTTAGATTCAACCCGAAGAATCATCATGGAATTGCATCAGTTACACAACATAAGCATTTATGTGAGAATCTTCCTCAGGTTCTTCACATGTTCACATGAGTGAATGACATCTACCGTCCCGCTCGTACGACCGAGTTACCATATGCTGCCAGAAAGTGTGCGCCGCTTTTGATTTGCTGCACCTACTGGCTCCTATCCCATCCGTCGAACGCAGATCTCACCAGTTGTTGCCATAGGTTCCAACGATTCATGTACATCTGCTAAACATACTTTGCGTGCTGCGGCCTAATACGGGTACGGTAACTATTTTCAAATCCGCCTGATCCTGTACCGCAGACGATTTTTTTATCAATTATTATTAGGTGAAACTCTGCACATGCTGCAAGGCGAGACAGTTTCACGGCCCAGTCACAGCAAACCGATTTAACTGTCTACTGTACTGGTTGGTGACTATTTTACCCCGAAATCTCTACGAGCGGTGCGACCCGAGTCGATAATCCGTTTCACCCTCTAGGATGCTTCTCCTGCACGTATGGCGCCGATCCTATGCCGGCATGGCGACAAAAGCTTCGCCTCTTCTGGCATGAAGATACAGTACTGGTCTACGAGAGCTCTATCGGGTGTGGCCATTTTCGCCACCCCCCCACTCGTTTTGAATTCCCCTTCACTCGGCGCTGGCAGCAGGCAGGCAGTCAGGCAGGCAGCAGGCTACGAGCCTACACCCTTCGGACATGTCTGATTTCTCTCCCGCTGCGATCCATGTAAGAAACGAGGCCACGGGAATAGAAAGAAGGAATGTGGTCATCGGCCTCTTATAACACTTCGGCTCCGAACGGTCTTGCTTACTCGACCTTCCTCGTGTGATGCGATGTGGAGAATTCTTCTTCAGCTTTGGAGATTTTCACGCCCTTTATTCACTCATACGTTTATTCTATTATCCGTCAATATGTTGATCCTCGTCCAACTCGGGGGCCAATGGTGTAGAAACTGTGATTTAAGTGTGGGAGCGAGACAGTGGCGTCCTGGACCAGGTCCCCGAGGCTGCAGCGATGCGATCATTGCAAAATGAAATGTATGTATTTTTATTTGCATTCTTATTTCTGATTACCAGTTTGTGAGCACCATTACTACCAGCACATGGATGCGGATACGTCGAGAGCAAGCTTTAGTTTTCATCCAATAAGTGGCAGCCTCGGCCCATTTGATAATGGCTCCTCAGCTTTCCAACTTGCCTCAAGGCTCTTTCTGTGCCAACTGTTTGCATGGTAGAAAGGACTCGGAGGCATGTGTTGCCCTGCCCTGGTAGAAACGCAGGCGCCTTAAGATAATGCGATCCGGAGTTAATGCGAAGCCAGTGCTAAATTCAAAGCGCGAGTGCATCTCGATATTCCCTGCGCGATCGGCATCTGATGGCTTTATATTAGTTTGGCGGAATCTTGAGCTCAACCAGAACGGGTCGGAGATTGAGGAATGTACGAGGGCGAGCTCTTTGGATGTATAATTCCGTATTTTAGTCTCTTTTCTGATATCTTCGAACGGATTAAAACACATGTGCTACATCCAGATTGATTCCCTCTAGAGAAAATTTAAATTATTTCACGTGAATGAGCTGTGCTTGATGAAACCCACCCAATAGCACATTCCTGCAAAGGTACACTGCGTGTATCATTCACAGTTTTTAAAATTTCATGTCCGCAAATGCCAGTTGGGGCCAGAAGGAAATGCTTAAAAAAGGGCATATTTTTTTTAATATTCCGTGAACGAGAATTGAGAAAATGCTCAATGTCTCTTCTACCGAGTAAAGTAACTCACTGTGTCCCAGTCATGTCCGAACCATCTACCCGATTATCTCAGTGTAATTTCGAGGCGCCTTTTCTTCAGGAAGTTCTTTCGATCAAAGCTATGCCAATTTAACCCTCTCTCGGTTTATTTTTTTAACGTCGAGCTCGAGCTTACTTTCAACCTCAAAACTTTCACCTTTCACCCCCGGTCCTTGCATGCCGTGTACCCGGCACGCATCCCTCGACAAAACTTTTGTTTAGGATTTATTAAAATAATTTTCACTGTCGTATTTTAAAACTGGGCTCTAGGGGGTCCCCATTTAGGCCACGTCTATAATTTGTACCGAAACTGGACGCACCTTGACATAAGCATGGCGGCTGCGCGATTCTCCCTTAGTGGTCGCCATCTGTTCGATATAAGAACTCTTGCTTCCACGAGAATCTTCTATCCAGTCTAACGACTTTTCGGTACGTTCTTTGTTTCGAGCCATCGTGTGTGATCGGACGATAGCATATAATTTTCGTCTACCAGTTTAATTTAGACTTTTGCTGCAAATTTAGTTTCAGGCCCGAGAGCTTGGATCGCTAACCATTATTAGCTTCTCGGACGGTACCTTGTTAACTAGAATTGGATCAGACCCGCCCTCCCTCATTGTATCAGGAGGATGGGTTTTCTTATCCCTCAGTTGTGGTTTTACATCTATTAGTTTCTAATTTGGCTTCTTCCAACTGTTTCCACATTCCATAATAACATGCTGAGTGTGGCTAAATTTATACGTGATATACAGAGTAGTTTCATGTTTATTGTCTCATATGATAATTATAGCATAGTTAATATACAATTTTCACCTCAATACACACTACTGTATATCTTATATGATTAAAGTTAAAATTTAGTTATATGATTTATATAAGAAAATGTTATAGTTAATGTGTGTGATAATGTTAACATATTCTCAACAAAAATATAAAAATTATATGAGAGTAGATTATAATCCAAAAATAAATAAATATTCTGCAACTTCTTCCAACTTCTTGCATCTCGTTTTCATAGCTTTAAAGTTGGAATAACAAAGAATTGAATAACAAATCCACAAATATGTGTGGATTTGACTTGATTTATTGTCGTTTAGTTTTATACATAACAAAAAAATTAATACGAGGATGTATGCTTCATATTCATCATCGTAAATATATTAATTGAGAACAAAAAGAAAATATACGTGATATTCATGTTTTATGTGTCATGTTTATTTGATTTTATTTTTAACATTAATTTTGAATCAACAAATTTTGTTAATTACTTTTGCTTTACAATTTTACAAAAATTAAACTCTTATCTCCTACTCTTTATGAACCTTATGAATATACAATAATTTTCAAAAAATAGAATTACAAAAAAACACAATGAAATGTTTTTATAAATAGCTAAAATAACTTAATCGGTTGAAAATTTTGTTAAAAAAAGATTTATTATTGATCGTAATGCAAATTGATAAAAAATGATGATAAAAAAAAATGTTTTTTTTCTCGTAAATCATTGACAGCGCTCAATGACAAGTGGTAAATACTTTAATCAATTTTTTGCAATCATTTATCAACCTATAATTTAACAAAATCATACAAAGTTTTACATGTGACAAATCATTAAATGAAATTTTAAATAATCCAACAATCTACACAAAATATAAATCCGTAACATTTTCAGATTTTAAAATATTCTGTAAGTTTCATATCTAAGAAAATCAAATTGCTGATTGCGTCAAAGCTTTTATTTATATATTTATTTATTTATTTATGTATAAAAATAATATTCAATTTTCCACATTTTAAAAAAATAAAAAAAGATATCTTTATTCATGATGATTAAAAAAATTTGAATTTAATAACTATATTATAATTTTTTAGTTTATTTTTTAATTTTTTCAAAAAGCTAAAATACAAAGGTTAAAATCACATTGATAACAAAAAAATGAAATTACATTGTTAAAAAATAATTTATTACAGTTTTTATTCATAAAACTTTTTAAATTTCATACTATTAAAAATAAAATTGTTGATAAAAATCAGCGAACAAAAATTAAAAATGTATAGAGTATGTTGAATAAATAGACTCTTATCACATGAGTTTTAATTAATAATTATGAAACCAATCAAATCTTAGTGTTTTCAAATTCTAATCAAGAATTTTATTGGAATAATAAATTTTATTTAATTAACTTTTAATTAAAAATACCTTTGCAACAAAAGTTATAAATAAATATCAATAGTTATCAATTTACAAGTGTCATAGATCTTAAACTTTAAATCCAAAAATAGTATTTTTATTTCAAAGTGATGTAAAATCTTTAATTTTGTAACCTTTATTAATTTGTGAGTTGATTATTATTATAGATATTTTTTTAAGACTTTAGATTTTTTTTAAAGGACAAAAACTCATTTGATTCAAATTAATAAGAACAAATCTTTAAAAAAAATTTCAAACTGATTATAATAATTTCATGATGAGTAAAAACAAATTTCCTTGAGTGATAAAAAAACAAGAGGAGAGTTGAGATCTATAAAGTGACATTTTTTTGAGCTTCTTCGAACTCGGATATTTGACATATGCAACATAAAAATAAAGCAAAATTATCGACATAAAAAATGATATAAATTTTTTTATTTTTCAATCATATCATAACTGATTTGATTAAATTTAATTCAGTTACAAAATTTGATGATGATGGTGATCTAGATTTCATATTGAAACAAATTGATCTCAGCAAATTAGTTTCATATTAGTCTTGAATGAAATTAAAAACTAATAGTTAATGAGATCAATGAATAAAATAATATGATATAAATGGTATGAATTTTTCAAGATCGCCGTGTGGCTCATTTTGAAAAGAATATGACCATACAAATTTTGCACTCGGTACTTTCGGACGAATGAAGCTTTTAAAGAAATAAAATTTCATTGATCAAGAACAAAACATCGTAGTCATGTCAATGTCATAAAAAATTCACATGGAATAGAAACATAGATTAGAATGAGATCAAATTTTTTTATTCAAAATACTTTAATATAACTTATTATGTAAGTATTTTATTTAATCATTAATTAGTTTAGAAAAAATTTCATAGTATCATAGTTTAAGTTATGATAATTTAAATGATATAATTTTTACAAGATTTCATATTTATTTTCTCAAAAAATCTGAAAGCATGTTGTTTGAATTTTTTATTATCTTTGAATTAATTGAAACAACTTTTATATGTAATGAAACCAAAAATTTGATCAATTTTTTAAAAACCAAAAAATTATTTATGTCATAATAAAAACTAAAAAATTATTTGATTATCAGATGAATGATATTGATAATATTTTTAATATATCAGAAAATATATATTTTATTAACAAATTCAATATTATATTATATTCATAAATTTATCATGCAAATTTTACGCTATTTTAAAAAATAAAATTAAAAATGGACAAAACAAAATAGTTACAAAGTAAATATGTTAAAAAAATAATTACATACAAATTTGCAAGACTATCATTTTTTCCCAAATTTTCATTTTCAAATTTTTTGATTCAATATTTCATCAAATTTTTTTTGTTAGATTATAAATACAAACGTGATAGACAAATGACACACAACAAAACTTTTAGTTTTAAGTCACAATTATTATACTTCACATTAGATCTAACATTGATTTTGTTATAGAAAATTTAGTGTTCACATGATAAATTGATAAGAGAAGTTTATATTTATTAATAAGTTAAATACAGACTTTTATTTGATGTAATATTGTATGAAATAAAAAACGTAGTTTGTGTTAGAAATTTAATGCAAAATAATCTAGAAGTAACAGATTTATTGTTATTTTTGTATGCTTTAAAATAAATGCATAAATTGCAAGTGTTGCAAAAATACAGACTTGATTACTTACAAAATGTGAGAGTGTAGAATTTTTGAACTGAATAATACATAATTTGGTTGGACAAAATTGTCAAAGAAAAGATTTGTGAATAATATTTTAAAATTTCATCATGATGATAATAATGATTTACATTCAATTTGAACTGACATGATAAATAATGATAAATTAAATGAACAATAGTTTTTTCAAAGAGACAATGTTTGCAAAACAAATTATTTTAGTCAAGATTAGTGTTAAACTCAACATGTTTATAATCAATTGTGATCCAATCTTTCATTCAATTTTTAAAGCACCTAGCAATTACTTAATAAATTTAGAAGCTACACTAGAGATCATCATGAAAATCTAGAATATGAAACTCAGCTGAATCAGTTATCTTAACTCATTAAGTCATTTATGATGTCTCTTCTAAATAAGTTGATCAAGTTACAACAATTTTCTCCAATTTTAGATGACGTATAGAATAGTTTGAATATGAGATCATAGTCTCAGGGAGCTCATAAGAAAGCAAGAATATGATGCAAGTCATTCTCATGAATTTGTAAATATTTGAAACAATCAAAACAATTTGACTAAGTGATTCATGTAAAATTTGTAATATTTACAAAATAGATATTGATATGATCTCCTTTATCACATTGGCATACCAACTAATCATATCGTATTCTGTTTTTATTATTGTAAATTTTCTTCTGCGTTTACAGTTTTAGGGTTTAGAGTAAAAAAACCAGTGATTTATATTAAATATGTGTGATATATGATCACATGGGGTAAATCATAACTAAAGGCCGGTGTTACTCCCAAATAAACTTGATTCTGCTCCGAATAATGGAAAAATGCTAAGGATTGACTTTTGGTATCTTTATACTTGTTTGTGATTTTCGCTTGTATTGTGTTTATCCGCATATACATGTACATATAGTATATCTTATTAAAGTTTAGAAAAAATACAGTATATCTTATTTAAGTTTAGAAAAATTATGCAAAAAATGTCAAGACACTTAGATACTACATCTTTAGTCTAACTTTAAATTCAGAACCCTAATTTCTGCGATGATCATGCTGAAAAAAGTTATTTAATCTCTTTTATGAAATATATCATAGTTTTAATATCATAATTTAATCACAATTTTCAAGGGTAGTCTGTTTTTACTTGCAAGCTTTTGATAGTATCCGATGACACAAGCAACAAAAAATTACACCTATTCTTTGTATATCACCTTAAATCACATGTTTTGCATTCAAATATATAGTATAACTTTCATATGTATATATATATATATAAACCAAGATAGAAGAATCATAGAGTTGGAAATATGATTGATATAAATAGAGTATATATATAAATAAATTAGTATAATATATAGTGCAATTTCGCTGTGGAGAAAATGACATCTACACATCTCTAGCATTCTTTGGAGGTACGATCAATTATGACGCTCAGAAAATGAGCTGTTCGGTCTCGCTTGAAGACGAAGTAAACTCTAATCATATACTCGGGGTTCGACGTCAAAATTATAGATCTGAAAAAACTTCGTTCTCGTTGGGATAGGTTCACAAGTAGCAGATATACTCAAATAGTTAGACATGGCTAGGCGTAGCAATCGTCCCGGCGGATAATCACATGCAGAGAGTATCCTGAAAGAACATGTCATCAGGCCTCGGAAGACCTTCCCCGAGGGCCTCGAGCCTCCGAACTTAACTTCGTGGGCCGAAATTCAAACGGAGGACTGGCGCTCGCAGAAGCGGGCGAGGAAATGAAATTAAACTCGAAAGAATGCGCGAGAAGGAATCAACGAAGGGCCGGAATTAGGCGCGGGGAACAGGTCAGAGGGTTCTTGTAGCAAGCAGCACCGCAAAAGGTAACAGTACGGCGTCGGGATAAAGAACTCTGTTCAACGGTACTCTTTTCCACCCCGCGAGCTGGAGATATTTAGATCTGACGGTTCTTCCACAGGGAGGTCCTGGGACCCCGCCCGAGCCCGGAGCCAGCCCAGGTGTTAGCGAGAGGAGATAGGGGTTAAATCAGGATAATCGGGATTAGGACCGCAGAGCAGCCGGTAAAAGGTGCCGGCGGGGATCGCAGGCACGCGGTCGGGGGGCGACGGGGTCGGGAAATGCGGCAGGGGACGGCGTCGCGAGCCGGAGGGCCGATCGGCCCTCGGATCTGCGAAGCGGAGAGAATCGGAGTGGCGAGGCGTGATGACACGCTCAGCGGGGAACGCATCGGGAGCGTCGGCGGGCGCGATCGCAGGGCGGAGATTCAATCCGTACGCATCGCGAACTGGCGCCATGGCAGATGCCCTACAGGGCTTCCCGTCGTGTTTCCCGTGAAGGCAGCGCGGAAATGATTTCGTCGCCCTCTGGCCTCGGACCCGCTCCGCGTACCGGCGTATCAAGGCTCGGCCCGCGGGGTATTGCCGCGAAAGGCGTCGTCTTTCTTTCTTTCTCCAGCAGCGCCTGCAGTCCGCTGTCTGAGCGTCGCCTGCGTCTCGTCTCCAGACTCTCCACTATACTTGTGCTGGGCCTCGCTCTCGACGTGAGCATATGTTGTGCGACACTGGCCCTGGTGTTGACAATTCTGCTCATTCTCCTCGCGCCCGATTGAAGACAGACAGTCGATTGCCGTAGGGTTGGGTTGGGGAGCGAGCGTGCGAGCGAGCGAGAGCGAGGGAGTTGAAGAGTGCGAGGAGGAGGAGGACGAGCAATTTTCGTTCCGGGTTCGAGGAGGAGGAGGAGGTGGAGAGGGCAAGATCGTGCCGGAGCTGGTAGCTCTGCATTCCGTTCTCGTGGGGCGCTCATCGGTGTGAGAGCAATTTGAAGTGCGCGAGCGGGGGAATTCGGAAGGCTTCGCACTAATCTGCCAGGGGAATTCTCGGGGACCGGAGTCTGTCGTGGGTCGGGCGAGAATTGCGACAGTGGTGGCCGTCTCGGGTTCGATCTTGTGTCTGGACCTCCGGAGTGCGGACGAACGGTCGGAGAGCGGTGTTTCTTGAAATTGAAGATCTGTTAGTTCCTGTCGTGCCGCCGGTTCTTTTCAAGGAATTGCTCGTGTACAGGACATTTCAGATGAAATTTTACAGCTCTTCGTTGAAAGTATCAACAGCGATCAGCTCTTCTAGAAAATTGTCATTTTGGCCCTTCCACCAGGAGCTTTTCTGTGAATTCCCCCCCATCAATCGTTTCGCCGTCTTGCCTTCTTCCAAAGAGGCCCGTAGCATGTTTCTTGAAGATAAGCAGTGAATTCGACATCTGCAGTTGAACCTTTCTAAGACAGTCAGCGTCAGTTCGCCGGAGGAACGTGTGGCCTGCTTTTGGGAGTCTTGGACGCGAATGATCTGAGCTTCTTGTACAAATTCGGCCAAATGCTCACCTCACAGCTCTGCTCGAATCCTCACTGCAAGCGGACATCTCCAGGAGATGGACCGTAAGCCCTCACCTCTACATCCTCGCATTGCCTTCTGATTTTATTTGGTTTTGATCTCTGAGGGAATTTTTAGGGAACAACCGTTCCGCTGCATTGAAGCTTACGGTCCACCGTGTCTTGGTTTGTGCGTGTCATACATTTCTTAGGCTTCTGTTTGGCGATTTTCGTTACTGCTACGCACACTTTATTAGACATCTCCTCAGACTACCCGCAAGGCTGCGTCGAGTCAGATGGGATGGAATTACTTGGTCGAAGTTTGAAGGCAGTTTGCTATCGAGATTCCCTTGGGGACGTCTCTTGGTATATGAACGCTGATCTTGTGAGGAGAGTGTTCAACGGGAAAAGAGACTGGTGCATCCGACGCCTTGCTGTCAAACTGAAGGTGCCGTACTTGTGGTCAACATCTGGATCTGCATCCATCCGCGTTGCCGCGGAAGAAGAAGGCGGAGTGCATGCGGGTGCGCGCTCCAGCTTCTTTGCAGGGAGCTTGGTGCAATGCCATTCTTCTGTCTAACGTCACAAGTTCTTCAAACTCTCGAACAAGGTCTTCAAGAAACCGTGGCCCACTTCTGCGCACTAATTTACCTTGTAGATTGGGCCTGACCATTCTCCTTAATTCTGCTGTTGAACCCTTGTCAAATTGCGGACTCTCTTTCGGTCCGATAAGTCCGGGCCATTTACGCTGTCGAACGCGTCGAGTAGCGTTCACAGCGTGTTCGTCTGTGTGAGGGGAATGTCAGACCTCATTGAAACGTTGTGGTCAGTACAGGGACATTTCATCGCCCATCTGACATTTGGTGCCAGTGATTACCAAATTGATCCTCGAGCGATTGATGTCGCATTGAAATCGTTTCATGTGAGCATCGTGGTAGATGCGCTCTCTTTAGGAGCCTCTGACCAAGGCTGTGGCTCAAGAGGCCGGCTATGGTTTCAGTGTGGAGATTGGCTCGTGAGCGTAATTGTGCCCTTCGTAAAGAGGTGGACGAACACGATTCGTTTCGATTTGTCCTACTGGGAACCTAGTCTAGAGACTTCGTTTCATCCCGTCGCGGCTGATCCCCGGCCTTCGAAGGAAGCGGAGGGTTCACATAGTTCGGACTGTGTTGTGGCCAGCAGATTCATGTCATGCCGAACAAGGACCATGAGGGAACAAGAGTAAACTGAAGATGTGTTCCCCAGGAGTTCGGGTTAGTGGTGTTTCTGGTGATTCGTCTCCACTGATCTCTCGAATTACTGCTTTCATCCACTACTGAAGACGAGTATCGTCCCTGAGGGAACCCGAAGAGTGGACCCAAGATGCTCTTACGAGGTTCAAGTTGCATCTTCTTGTGAAGTCCACATCGTCATCAAATTGAAGGTCTACAGGAGAATTTTTCTTTCTTCGGGCTAGTGGACTACGAAAGTGGTCCATGTGGTCGGCACAAGCGGAACTGGAGGGTTGAATCTTTTCACCGTGCGGCAGACATTGCAATTTCCTGCAAAATCCATCGCTGGGGATGTCCTCTTTCTTGTGTAGACGGATCCACTTTTCAACGGAAACTTGAAGCGGAACCCGTGAGGGGATCCCAAGTCTTGTACTGATGGCCTCTGGGTGCGCGTAGCGAGCAGCAGTACGTTGAGCTGCTAGTACTCGTCTCCACATCTTGATCGATCCGCTTGTTGCCACCAGTTGTTCCGCCTCTGGTTGGCCTTCCCAGTTAGAGGAAAATTCTATCCTTGCAATGAACAGAGGCGGGAGGTCTACCCGACTCCGAGAAGACATAATCGGCGCTTTTGACTAATTTTGACTTCCACACACAGTTTCCTTGGAACTCAGTTCATGGTCAATGTTCAGCGATCCTGATCGTCCACCCGCAGTTCAGGAATGTAACTCAGCGTAGATTTCTTTCATGTGACTGGTACCCGCGATTCTTGCGAGTAAGCCTGCAGGCGATAGATGATATCATCTCCGTTCGACGCAGACCATGTTTAAAACTTGGTCTGCTCTTTCTTCATGCAAGGGGGTTGTTCTATGTTGACCTGCTGGGTAGTTTGCATCAGCCATACTTTCTACGCTTCCAGTAGTGGTCTTGGCATGCGCATCATGTTCGCCTCTAGTTTTTCGGACAGACTCATCTTTGGCCATCGGGAGAGGACCTTTTCACCGCTGGCGATGACCGAAGTGGGGAGTGAGACTCGGAGATGTCGATGCGTCTTCCTTAGCATTATTCTGTTGCAATCCGCTACATCACAACTTTGAAACTTCCGTCCCGCACGATGCGCAGCCATCTTGTTACTTCTTCATTTCCTACTTGGCTCCATGTGGATTGGCTAACCAGAGCATTCGATTCGATATTATGTGCAGGACTTGCCGTTGGCACGTACGCAACTACGGCAGCGAAGAGGAGCCCAAGCATGTCACTCTATGCAACGCCTGCAAGATCAATTTTGACCAGGTAAGGTCTGCGATTAGCGTACCTTCGATCTTGTAACTTGGTCTGTCAACATTGTGTATTTGAGCTGAGATCTGACCCTTCGAATTGTACGTTGTTTTGCAGGGCAAGTACTGCCCATTCTGCGTTCAGATTTATCGCGAGAAGGACCCAGACAGCTTTGACGGAAAAGAGGTACTGCATCGGCCACTCATTACAAATGCATCCTTCGATAATTTCCATGTTAGTCTGATGTTCACGCCATGCCATACAGAACGGTTCTGCCTGAAGGTGGGTCGTTGTCTCAGTAGTCGGACACCTACCGTGCACGTATAGTAGACGTCAACAGCTTAATTAATTTTAATCAATTTTTCGGTGCGGTAAAGGTTGTTGGTGAGCTTATGTAAACTCACGGGGCATACAATGTAGTCACCTTCGGACTGTTTACATAGGAAATGTTGCCATAGTATCACTTGATAATCAGTAAAACATCTGGGTTATAAGTCTTCATCACATTTGAATAGACACTTCAGGTAGATAACGGGATACGGAGGAAATCGTGATGGAAACTGAGAAGTTTCACGTGTCCATGCAGTGGGTGGGTTGCGACAATCGTACCTGCAGGCGCTGGGTTCATGTAGACTGCGAGGTGGGAGCTGGAAATAAAGTGGATTCAGCTGCGTTCTATTTATGTCCCAGCTGCAGAGAGGTAAGGCTTTCATGAATTTACTTGAGAGTTGAGCTGGAAGTATCGAAGGGGGAAGAATTCCTCGAGCGGAGAGCACTCATGTGACGGATATAATTCGATATGAACTAAGGTCTTCAGTGGAATCTGTCAGCCCTTCGTTTACTTGAAAGAAAGCAGCGTAGATGATGTCGACAATGTTGAAGGCTTCAATGTGTCTAAACCTAGTGTTTGGTTACCCCAACCAAGTTATTATGTTGCGGTGCAATTTGTCGTTATTCGACTTGTGTGTTAATTTACTAAACTTATTGTTTTGTCTTTTTCTCAGAACGCCCAAGAACTGGGCGATCGGAAACGTCCTGGTCGTCCACCTGCCCAAGATCAGTCGGTGGCCACAAACCATTCCAACTCGGACTCTACGCCAATGGTAAAAACATATGCTGAGTCATTGTAACTTATTATCTGCATGCAATGTCGTGGTTGTGTTATTTGTCGTTACTGACATCTTATTTGTTGTAGGATGTGGAGCAGAAGCCCAAAATGTCCCTGTCGATACGAAACTCCAGAAGACCACTCCAAGTTGATTTGTCCAAACTTGAAGTGAGTTTTATGATTAATCGTATATTTGCTGTTCTGTTTATCCGATTTTGTGTCGTTTATCCAACCGTCGAAGAGGACTATGCAGAGATTGTCGATTACATCGTAGTGGGTCATGTGAGTAATCTTTTTGGTTTGGTAATTGGAGGAACTAATGGCCAGATGCCTTCGAATTTCAGACTTCGTCACTGAAGCGCTACCGCCGTGTCTACAACCTGCGAGAAGTGACCAGCAGCTGCAAGGAGGAGCTCATTCCGGCAGTGGCACGACATTTTGCTGCTCAGGTGAGGGTGCTGCACTCGTGGATGTGTTCGAAATTCCATCTACAGCAATTGCTGTCAACAGATGTTAGCTTCCACATAGACTAACGATTTGCGAGTTTTCCAGGTCGTGGAGGAAAATGAGACGTTGCTGACATTTGCATGCTTCCTGAAGAAGCAGCAGAATTTTTCTGCTTCCAGCTTGACACATCGCATCCCACGTACAGCAGCCAAATGAATTGAAGGCGATGAGAGCGTCATACATAATACTTTGCCTGTACTCCTTACTACTGACTCTCGTGCTTTTTAATAGCGTCGGTCACTGCGAAGGATTGCAAGCATAGTATAGATATATACCGGAGGTGAAGTAGTCGGGTCAGTTTTGTGTAAAGAGGCCGTAGTCACCCTTAAGCTATTTCAGACTGCCTCCTGTCAAGTGCTCCTACAGTCAACTGGTATCGTGGCAGCACGACTTAAAGTGGGACGAATTCTATGTTCGTTTGTATAGTGTGTTCGGCCACTAAATTCCAAACAATCGCGATATGAGAGGCAGGTTGATTTGTATCATGAGTAGGAGACAACCTAAATTTTTATCATTTTCTTAGCGAAGATATTTGCGGATTTGCCAATTTTTTTATGTAAACATTTTCCTTTCACCCCTCTGTCGTCAAATGTGATGGTTCTGTTATTTTGTCCCTATCACTATGCATTTCGAAGCCTTTTTTTTCCCAATGCACGTCCCTTGTGAATCCTCATATTTTTTTCACGTGATGAATCCTCCTGTCCAGAAAGGTTATCTGAAATGGAATCGCGAGCTCCTCCAAGTAAATGAAAACATAAACTGAAGTTGGATAGTACAGATCTTAATGGTAGTGTATATTTATCAGTCTTGATGGTTTTGACAAGACTTCATTCCGAGACGACATTTATCAAAGCCCATTCGAATGATGCAAAGTGTAATGTTAGCGAGATGCAAACGTCATGGTGGCAACCCTGGAGGACCACTATCCGAATCTACTGTTGTCAAAATCTTCTGGGCAAATTATCATGGGAAAGGATTCGCAGAAAACTCATTACCAACTGGTATGCCTGACTGATGCTCGTAACGAGTACGAAGACCAAGTACTTTTAAGTATTGCTAGACCAGAACCTCTTGTGATGTCTCTGTATGTGGCTTGGTGTGCATAAAAGTAGAAGTGAAATGATGCAAGCGTGGCATTCTGAACCGCAAACCTGCATCCAAGCTGCCCATACGGTTCTGGTCCTATGGGCGAGGCTCGGTTGATTCGCGCATCGAACTCTTATCGACTGTAGCGCGGAAGCGGATCCGTCCATGGCTATAGCCGCAGCTGTCAAGGAGCGCGATCTGATGGTTTGACACTCTGCTCTCGCCAGGGCTATGGTTCTTCAGCACAAGGTCTAGGAAGCCAGATAGACCTGCAGCGGTGGAGCTCCCCCTCCTCGTTTCTAACTGACTTGCTCACTCTAGACGGTTGCGAGTAGGTCACAGCCTCGCTTTCCCGATTCTTTAAAGCTTATCCGTATCCAACTGCGACAACGTCTCCGACATCAGCTCATTCTCATACCCGACAACCGGAAACCTTGTACATGTTGCCGAAACGATCACCAGAGGCGAGCACAGTAAGAGCAGTGAACGATCCCAAGGGCGAAACCATCTCTCGTCTCGCCTTCCCGATTCCCGTCTCCGGTCCCATCCCCTCCATTCTACGAGAGAAGGCAAGCATCCATAGCTCTGTCTATATGGAGATGTTTTCTTTCGAATCAGCGATGCAAGCGAGAGCATGCTTTCCCTCCCTCGCTCCCTCTCGCAAGAACTCGGAGGGGCGTGCGCCCTGGGCTTCGATCCGCTTCACGGGAGGAGTCCGGTCCGCATCTGGGCGGCAGGACGACTTGTTCGTGCGAGGGGAGGGAGGGAGGGAGGGAGGGTAGGTCGGTCCGCATCTGGCGACGAGCACATCCTCTCGAAGCCATTGGAACGACCTGAAGACCAGGAAGGATTCTCTGGCGTCACGAGGGCGAAAACAAAAGGCTCGAGAGAAAGCGACAATGGCCATGGCCGTCAGCAGCTTTAATAAAGGCGAAAGAGGCATGAGCGCGGTGGTGGGATGAGCAATTCCACTGTGGGGCGACGACGCTTATAGAAGGTTAATTCCATCATCCCACAAGGGCTCGTGAGGTCAGCTCCAAGTGGAGACCTAATTATGAGCTCTGGGAAATCTGCTGTACTTACAAGTGACCTACCGGTAACAAAACTCGGCGGAGCGCGACGGAGTCCGCCGTGGGCCCCAGCGCGCGACTGGGCTCGGGTTCCACCCACAGTGAATGGAGCGAGGAATCATTTGCATGCAACCACTTTCGCGAGGAGTTACCTCCGAACGAAATACGTACATGAGTACATACGAATCCCCACGATTCAAGACAGATCGACAGACAGACAGACAGCAGATCCCATGATTGTGACAGTGGGACCACCACGCGAGCGCTCCAGAACGTGACGTTCGCTCGACTCATCCGGTGCCGCGATCCTGCCGCTCTTGTTCCATCTCGACGGCCCTTGCGCCTCGCTCCGCAATCCTGGCCTCTGGCAGCCGCCGATCTCTCTCAGGGTTCACGCGCCGTGTGTTCGTCCCAAGCTCCATGCTCCATGCTCCAGATACTGCGATCTTTCCTCTAGGCCTCATCATGTCAATCCAAATCAAAGTGTCACCACCGACACGCACACCCTCCATGTTAGTGTCTGCAGGGCGAGCCTGAATCGGAAAGCGCTGCCGTCTCTGACACTTCTCGCCTCCCTCCCTCCTTCCCTCCAGTAAGTCAAAATAATTCAGTCGCATCTCCCGCTTGGGAATTTGGCTCATAGTTCGTTGTTTTTGAGGGCTTTATTCCCGAGTTTTAGAAAGCCGTAAGCAGATCAGAAATCTCCCTTCTCATCTGACACACACTCTCTCTCTCTCTCACACATACATTCTAGCAGGCGATCAATAATTCAATCTATTTCCGAGTGCGCGATCTCTCTCTTTCTCGCCGATCGGTCTTGTTGATCGGCATGCATTTTGTCGGAACGATCGAAGTCATGCGTCCGATGGTGCAAAAGTCGGCGCATGACATTCGTCCCCAAGTCCGCCTCAATGTGGACATCCACGGAATGTTTTCATATTCTTTGTTCGACAAGGATTCACATGCTCTGAAGTTGGAACCTCTGGCCTTGACTACTTGTACGAGATCCGAGCCTACTACATCTCACAAGTCTGGAATCAATATTGACAATGGGGGAATGACGGACACCGTACACTAACGGTGGCCTAACCATGCAATACCACAAAGACCGGAAAGTCAAACAAGGGATTGCTTGTCTCTGCCCTCCAAAACGTCCATCTCTTGACTTTACTCAACTGAATTAGTCCCTAGAGATTGATCGACTGGAATTAGACTTCACTGCTTCATCACACACCACAAATCTACACAATTTCGCCCCCAATCAAGATTCGTTAAACTCATTCCTAAGCTGGTGAATGGTTCATTAATAGATACATTTTACAGGTCCAGAAAAAATTTAAATACAAAAAATTTAAATACAATTTCCTCCAACAAGTAACTAGTAATGCTTTCTCCTCGCAATACAAGAAATCATTTGCATATAAAAAGTTGATGAGAACAAAACCCTCGAAAACTGTCACAGGGTATGTAATGCTTGTATGTAATGCATCATCTATTACATCCGAACTAGTGATATGTTGAAGTAGCAACTTGTTCTATTCCTCTAAATTTTTCACTGAAATCAATGGATCTACGTTTGGGTTCAGATATATGCATTGGATTCATGTGTGGAATGCAATCTACTCATCAATTATGTGCACAAATTCATGATACAAATGTGATCTCATGAGATTTGGAGTAAATGTCTCTGTTCTTTTCCTCTTTCGTTTTGCGCTGAAATCTGAGCACAAGAATGTAATGCCAACTTTTATACCATGGGGAGACTTTCTTGTTTAAAGGCATACTTGCCACTGGTTCGGTCAAAAGCCTTGCACCATCTCACCAAGGATTCAACTTTACCAAGGGCAACTTCTCCTCAAACTTAAGATATGTCTTTCAACATTCATCATAGCTCTTTTGACATATTGTCCCCCCCATGTTGGGCTTGTCGTCATGGAGCATTTCACGTACTTTCAAAACGTTATTGCTTTACTATCAAAAAATCTCATATGTTGACTATCGGGACACAATATTTTTAACCTTTTTTGTGGAAGCACGTTTTGTGAACTTTGCCAGTTCACAAATCATGTAGTTTGTTCTTATGACTAAGATATCTTATTGTGGCTTAATTATAATGGGCTATATTCTAAATCCATGACATATCGACTGATTTATCCAATTTTAATTATGAGATTGTAAAAAAAATGTACATCGATGCGCAGATTTATTTCAAAACTCATCCAATCCAACAATATTTCATTTCACATAAATCAATTATCTATTTAGTTCTGCGCCAATAAACATCATAACACGAAATAGCGTTGAAGACATAGTGGAAACAACTCATTCACTATGTATTTCATAAAATCCATGATCTCCACTAAGATGTTTTTTTTTCATGATAATTTTTCATGATAATTTTTTGATGATACACTCAATCTTTAATGCATAAGCACCAAAGCTTTATACAATTATGCTAATCAATTTATTAATTTCATCCGATTCAAAAATCAGAATTGAAGTATGTGATCATGAATAATGTTGATAATTTTCAATGAATTAAGAAAACACTCCTCAAACGTCATTTACATCATGAAATTAATTTTTTTTTAAAAATAATTCATGTAATATCAATGGCACTCGCAGAAAGGTGTGAGTGCATCATAAATTAAGTATGGAATTTACATCCAAGTCAAATTTTACTAGACAGATTTCAAAACTATTACATAGAATTATAGTTATAGAAAATGATTAAAAATTCAAGAGTACAGAACTTAAATTTTTTCATGTTAGTTATGACTTTTTCCTCTAGTTTTATTCATCATTTCATATTTAGATTTATCACCCAGAATTATCATTGATGCAACAAGAGTTTCAATCTCCTATCTTACTTCATCTTCTCCTCTATTTAGATCAATAATAAATCATGATAGAATTTGAATATAATCACAAGTCTACTTCTAAAGCCACTTCAAAAACTTCTATGAATTTTCTGTTGAATTATATAACAAGTGAAATTTCAAAAAATAATATTTGATGACTTCATATTGAGTTATTTTCAAGAAAGTTATTATGTAATGTATTATTACATTATTTATACCAGCGTCAGCGTCGTTCATACCTTTTATGGCATTGCATGGTCCATGAGCAGACTTTTACAAAAATATTTGATTGCAAAATGAAAAAAAATAAAATCAAGCGTCAACAGGAAATCATTTTATTTTTTGATTGTGTTGAACAATTTAGAGTCTAACAATTTTCATAAAAAAATCAGCGTTTTTTGAAGCTAGCTATGAAGATAAATATTATACAAATTTAGAAGTGGAATTTATGATTTTGATAGTTTTATATGCTCAAGAGGAGGATACTTCTTACTATAAATTTCTGAAGAAAGTCTCAGATTGATATTAATTTTATAATGTAATTATAGGTTTGAAACAAAATTTGTGATCTTATGATCGTTATAGCAATGTGATCTAAATATATCTTCATAAGTACTACTTGAATCATCCTTCTTATCATATATTTTTGATTAAAAATATAGATCTTTCAAGTGATCTTAATATAATCTGAGATACAAGTAAATTATATATAATTATATATAATTGCTGATTTATTTTTCTTTAAAATTCCTAATCATAATAAAATATGGTTTTATAAATCAAGTAGTTTATTTTTTGAAGCTTTAAGCTCCATCGATAGGTTCATGAGGCGCATTTTATAAGTTGATTCATACCATTTAGCAGAAGTAAAGTAAAAATGACGTGAGAAATTATGGATGATCATCTATTCAACAATGTGTATCGATTCTACACTGTGTATCTTGAATTCCAAGCAGAGGGCTTCATTGGTGCAATTTCTTATGATATAACAAGACTAAAAATATTTTGTATGATATATTCAGCCAAGCATATTATCGTAAATTTTTAAAGACATTTTCATATATTACTTGGATATTATCTGACAAGATGCCTCTGATAAATCCTTGATAATATCTGTGAGATGTTTGCAAGTTTTAAGGGTTTACGGTGAGCAGGTCTGTAGTAACTTTCTCAATGCAAGGAGCCAACAGAAAAAAGGAATCAGTTTTTGCATGATTGAAAGATACACAATTGCTTGGAAATGTATTATTTTCACGGAAGGTTGCGCAGTAAAAGAACTTCATCTTGAAGAAAAGCAAGCTTTCAATATTTTTTTAGTTTGATATACATATCTGGTATATATGGTAATTCTGTCATGAATGCGATTCTTCCCGTTATCATATCCCCTTCTTCTTCAGACAACACAGAGTCAGGCACACGCAGGAATTTTCTCGCCATAAGGACACAGCAGGACAAATACAAGCCAAGCCATGACGAGGATTCTGTGGAATTACGGGGGGTCGGAAATAAGTCACAGATTCCAGGAGACTTGCAACCTTCAGGAGCTACCATTAAAAAAAAGAATTACGGGTCCGGTTATAGAACTAAGCAGGCGATGAGAAAATTCTTCCACCCTCCGTTCCTTTACGAGGAGTCGCGTCCCAGAGGGTCCACTCCACCTAACACTCATCAATGAATGGAATGGAAAGGGTTCAGTTGTGGATGCAACGTGAGACATGGTGATGATGATGATGCAGTGCACTGTAAGCTAGCGTCGTACAAAGGACATTTTTATTTCACGCATATGACAAATGAAATCGGTCCTACCTCAGCTCGGCTCGGCTCGGCTCGGCTCAGCTCTGTGCTATCCAATATACTTCACATGATGATTATTTTTCATGTCAGACATCATTCTCGGAAAGTTGCCAATATTTTAAAAAGACTTTTGCTGTCCTTTAAAAAAGACACACAAATCCACGAAAGCTATGCACTACTTACCGTTCATGAGCTGGAGTAGTCTACATACATACATAAACAACTCCAACTTGGAGGTCCATAGTGTGGCACACCTCAGTTTCTGCTAATGCGTGCCTGCAGCATGGCTTCGAGTCAAATGCAGATAAATGCACAATGTTTAATCTTCTCGGACATGTGACGCAAAATCAATGTGCGACTATACAAGGGGCTACTTTTTCTACAGTTCCGGTGTACTTTTTCTGCGTTGGCTCGTCACCTGATTTGGAGTGTTACTTCGCTGCTTTCCCACAGATTCTTTCTGTCGGGGACAGTGGTAAGAGACAGTGCCATCCTCGTTGCCTTTCTGTTGGAGTTCGACCCTGCTGAGCTCCCGTTTACGATTCTCCTCGAGGAGATCAGGCAATGGGACAACGAGTTTCTTATAGTTCGTGGTATGGATGTAGCGAGACAGTTCGGTTGTTGTTGTGATGAGAAGAGACTACAGGAGATTCACTCGCAAGAGGACACCAGATCCTCCCTATTTTCAGCCCAGAGCTTACTACCACTCGAAGTCTCCCCTCTCATGACACTGTTTGGAGATCGACTCCAGTCATGTATCTCAGAAGTATCTCAGATTGTTAGTTATATCTTCAGTGCTCGTCCCACGTGTTCTCTTGGATCCCTGGAGGCTAAATTTATTCTGGGCCCTTTGGTGTTTTCTTGTCTCGCTCGATGAGGTTCTTGTCTTGCCGTCCCATCCCATCACATGCCATCATGACTTGCTCCCAACGTGAAGCACTTCACCAAATCTTCGGGCACTCGAAGTACTGTACTGCTTACGAACCTTGTGTCTAGGATTTGGTCGTTTCGAACGAGAGTTGAATCGGATTCGATCAGTTGAGTGGAATTCTTCGCGGAGGTGAAATGTTTTGGTCACTTGATGAGCACACCGGCCATTTGACACAGCTCATTATCTCGAGGGACTCACGAACTCAGGTCCGCTGTTTGCTGCTGTCTCACTGGAAGTTGACGTCTGTTGACACACGTTTGACTCGAGTACCAAAAGAAGTTTCCATCTAATTCTCAATTTCCTCTTTACCTTTTATCGCATTGGTGATCTCCTTTAGGAGCTGGAGATCTTATTGACACCTGTCCTTGGACAACAACAACAAGAATTCTAAAGAGATCTTATACATATGTGTGCTGAAGCTTAGAGGACCTTTAAGTTTCACACTTTCCTTCAGGTGCAGAACGGCAGATTGAAATTCGATCCTGACACCGTATCTGATAAAAGGGAGGAGAATTCGATCTCTCTCTCTCTCTCTCTCTCTCTCCCTCTCTCTTGGCGTAACGTCTAGTTTGATCAGCTCACCTCACTCATGACTGACAGCTCCATGTAACGTCTCAAGGTGCATCACACTGATGTAGTTTCATAATATTTCTTAACATCTGTCTCATGTTGGACGATGTGATTCATGCATTTTTTCTACCCAGCAACCATCACCACTCCGTCTGACTTTCATTACATCGTACTGGCCTTCGATTGCGTGCATTTTCCAAAGCTGGAAGAGAAATATGATCTTGCAATAATTCACATCAGTGCAGGTGATGATATCTTTTCCTCCCGTACTGTGCGTTGTTGACATTCCTCTCTTGGGCGTGACCTCACACCTGAGGTGGATTTCGTGGAAATCGTGTGAGTCACCGGGCTATTAGTGCTTTGTAACCTGGGAGTTGGAGCACTTAAACTGGAGTCATCATTCACCATATCCTTGACGTATTCCCTTGACACTCTTTTCTAAAGATGGAGGTTTTCAATTGGCTAGCGTCTAAATTTAAGACCATGATAATATCTTACCGCACTTCAGAGATGCATCCTCGTGGGTACGAATAAGAGAAGTCTCGTACCTCAGAACCTACAACTAAACTTGTCAGAGCTCAGGAATCTATTGTAATTTCCATAGAAACATTTGTTGGTCACTTCGTTTCTTGGGTTTCTTTGGGACATTCAAGAAATACGTACGCCCATTACATGCCAAATGAACCATACTCACGTTACAGCCACGGTATAAATCCCACATTGAGAAGAAATCTCTATCTTAACGGGGGGATATTTCTTGAAGTAGATCTGCGAATGGTGGGAGGAAATTGCTCATCATTTATCCTAATCTCGTCTAGTGTGGGATGTGGATGAGATGGCACATGCATGTTTCCAAAGCATGATGATCGAAAGCTCTGAAACGTCGCTCAAAGGTGAGGAAGCGTAGAGAGAGGTCAGTGCTCTTACAACACTCTACAAAATTTGAAATGTGAGATACAACACTATGTCCATGTGTGAGGTGTGTGAAAAGGATTAATTGGCACTCTGCAGATTCATCTTAGAGGAGGACCTTCACGGAAACATGGTGTCATCTAATCGACCCTTAGATGTCATGGCAGGCAAACTCGAAGCCTGTAGGGAGGGATGACGTAGATGACCAATGAACACTTAGTGCGAAACCATGTTTCTCGACCGATCTCCAGCGACGACTGAAGAGCAGAGGTCTACGAAGATGTAGCTCATAAAATGCACCTTCAAGCAACCACGCAGAGAGTCGAAAACCGCTCTGAACGGATGAATCAGGATGAGTCCCGAGGTGACGAACCGGAAAATCGAATCCTGTTGATCTAACAGACAAACTTCATCTCGTTGACTTATTTGAGCAGAAGCCGAGAAATAAACGAGTCGTCGAAAAGCGAGCGAATTGTCTTCATAGTGAACTGTTTGGGCTGGGCTGCATTCAAGAGTGTCTTAAAGACGAGGACCGAGGCGAAACGAGGATTCTCTTTCCTTATGCGCCACGACGTTTCTACGAAGTAAGAAGACCGTCAAAAATTAGCATTTCAAGCCAAAGCCTGGCTATTCGACGGGAATATCCATCAAGCCTTACAACGAAGAAAATTAACAGGAAAGTTAAATAAAAATCTAATTGATGAAAAAATACAATGTTCCAACTATGTGATTTAAAAATTGGCTAAAAGTTGTTCGAATAACAAATACATTGGATTTTCTTATTGAGCACATTAATTGGACTCTTATGTATATTGTCATCCATAACTCTTTGGAGAGTAATATGATGGCTGATAAAGTTACATATTAGGAAGTGATTGCTTGGTATCATATACTCTCCCGTTCCACTACAAACATGTCAAATCCATGTTTATAATTTTGAACACTACAGTAACAATTGAAATTTCTGCATACTCCATTACTTGGAGACTTAGCTGCTGTAGTCATATTCATCAGCCATCGATGATAAAATGATAAAATATATATCGCATGGATAAAACCTTCATCTCAAGAAAGATAGATAACTATCACATTTTGCTATCGTAGCTTGGCTAAGCTTGACTCAAATAGAAATCCGCTGTTACCTCGTTGATTGCAAACTAATTCAACTTAAATTCCATTTGTAAGACATCTTTTGGACTTCGTTTTTATTATTATCATGTCCTTGATGAAATTATGAGTGATTGACTTTTTAAATTCCAAATGTTCTATTCACGTGAATGGTTCTTAAAAAAAATCTAGTGTAAAATCACAATGATGTGTGAACAATAAAGATATGGAAGAGTACCAAACATTTAATAAGATTCATACTTTTTAACAATATAAAGATGGGAAACTCTTGCAAAAAATATCTCTTGCAAATATCCAAGTCTAAGTTTGTTTTAAACCATCAAAGACAGAAGTACATACTTGTTTCGTTTTTATCTAGGCAAATAATTATCAGCTATGTAATTTATAATACACGGGATATACATCAAATGTTCACCAAACAGCAAATGTTCATTTGTTGAGAATAGAAGTCTATTCGAAAATAATGATTTGGATTTTTCAACTATTGCAAGGTAAAATAAACCCCAAATCACATTACAGTTTGATAACTTTGAAGACCCGAAAAAAACGTCTTTTAACTAGGATAGATATTGTATAATATAGGTCTTGATTCGATGTTATCAAGAGTGTTGAATCTATCGTCATTGAGTGTTAAGCATCACACACAAGTTCATGAAAATTCGTTATCTAAATTTCAAGAATATGAGTTCTCCACTGTATTCCATGCAGCTCCATGAATATCATTATTTAGTCTTAGCACACTGAAATCCATTTAACATCATTTTAATATTGCTTGCTCGAAAAATATTAACTATTTGTTTCCAATTACATTTTTACTGAAACCCCAAGCGTAGTTGGTCATGATCTCTTCCAATTGTTGGCGAGGCCCCACGATGTCGAAGACCTCGATCTCCATTGCTTGAATTCTCATTCACTCGAGAGGGTCAACGTACGCATCAAGTTTGCTCGAGCAAACTTGAGGACTGGCTGCACCAAATCTGCATCGCGACTCGGAGAGGTCCGAGGCCGAGCCATCTGGAGCTTCTAAGAGACACACAAGCTCGAACTCATCGGGGCTCCTCGCGGTGGCAATTACAGTGATGACATGAACGAACTAAATTCGGATTTATTAACGAATTTAATTAATTTAATTAATTAAATTCGGAGGGCGGTGGTCGGTCAACGCGTGCATGGCTGCACGCCAGCAGCAGCAGCAGCGAGCGGGCGGGCGGGCGGCACCGAAGGCGACCGGACTCATGGGCCTTGGACCACCGCGTTCCAGAGCACCATGATCTCGGGGTCGGTGGTCCAAATCCCAGTCTATGGAGGCCCGATCCCCAAGGCGCGGGTCTTAATTCAGCCTGCCACAGGCTTTCGGCCTTCGAGACGGTGAGATTACAATATTCAGCATGATAATTTATTAGTTCAGGCCCACACTCTGCGCAAGGTTTCATGCGAGCCGCACCTCGGACACTGCGCAGCCTGGCTATGGCCGATCGAGGCGGAGGATCGGCATACCTGCTCGCTCTCCCTCCTCTCGCCGTAGACCCCGTTTGGAGAAATTTTGCAGCTTTCCAGTGGGACGAGGAAGAAGGCTCTCTTTCTTCCATCGGAATCGAGTACAAATCATGCCGACGAAGATCGGTCTGTCGAAAGTTGGTTTTAGAAATCGAGATCGTGGACGAGAGCTTCTTTGGGGTCCTTTCGGAGCTCCGCCGAATTTCTAGGAATACGGGGTTTTACGATGATGGGGCAAGGCGAGAGAAGGAAAGGGAAGGGAAGGCGAAACGAATGGAGCACAAATCGCAGCACCTTCGGAACCACCGAAATCACAGCGAAGAATTCACAGCTCTGACAGACGCCCTTCTCGGAACGGCGTGGGTAGAATTTAGAGAATTGGTGATGCCAACATTGGTCGCAGAAGAGAGGCACCGATTGCCAATCGAGCCATGCAGCTTGGCCTTCTTCTTCTCATTCCTCCAGCCCTGGGAATGAATCCATCCATACACAGCACGTCAGACCCGACCGACGACGTGCTTCATCCGATCTTGGAACCCCAGTCTCGATCCTGCTTTCAAAGCGGAACGAGGAGTGGATCCATCGGAATGGGCTATGGGAGTGTCACAGTCAGTGGGAGCGAAGCACATCGTGGAGTCATGTCCACTTAGGATCACAGTCCAGCCCAGCCATCGCCAAGATGACGCCATGAATTGTATCTGCACAGTGTGACCCCGTCCATCCTCACACGACATGATCGTCTTCTTCCCGTCCCGTACTCCGATGTCTGGGAAGACCGTCGAAAGTGCGACATTGCTGCGCCATTGCAGCGACAGAAGGAAGAAAGGAAAGGCGAAGCGCGGTCTCTTTCCGGGCTCCATGGCCGGACGGGGAGGGCCAATCATCGGTGCAGAGGGTTCTAGGCACGCAGGCACGCCGGCCCGGGGCAAGTGAGTCGATGTCAATGATGGCTGCCACCTCCCTCGTCCTTCCTTCCTTGCTTACTAAGCTCGCGACGGGAATCCGTCCGGTGTCAGTCGCCAGTTGCCGAAACAGTAGGTTTCTCGTATCCGTGCTCACCAAGTTCTCGAAGCGATGGCTGACAACATCTCGAGCCACAGTCACTCGCAAAGCTCCCGCTCCCGCTGCCGATGCTGATGCTGCTGTACTTGATTGGCGTCTAAATACTATTGACCGGTGCATCGTCAGTGCGCTCCTATTACTGTCGTCCAATTTAATATCCATTTATGTGCATTTCTACTCCACTCCACTCCACGGTACGCAAGCAGGCTCGTAAATGAACGACGCCGTCTGCAGGACTTGCATCGGGGTGCAGCTCGCGAGCAGTCACTGGCTGACGTGTTGCGAATTGAATAATCTGATCCGTCCCAGAATCTCACTCCAATCTCTCCAATCATCCGAGCGCTTTGTCGTGTTAATGTACGGGGATCTCCACCGAGCGAGCGATTCCAGAACCTGCCGAGGCCGAAACTGAAGTTCGTGCTTTTGTGCAGTCGAAGCTCAAGTCGGATTTAGAGTCGGTTTCGGAGGATTTTGGAAGCCAGGTTAGCTCGAAACGGGGGTTGGCTTTGAATCAATCTTCTGAGCACTCGATTGATGACTGGGCCCGGAAGGGTCGAGCTCTGGGATCTCTCGCTGGGACGTCCAGTGCTTGCTTTGTACTCGAGGAGCTGGCCCCATGGTCAACGTCGCGGTACGCACGCACTCGAGCGATGGATTCCATGAATTCGGGGCACAGTCGAATGAAGTGCGCACGCACCGTAGACCCCCGAGCTCGCAAGCTGCTCATGCAAACTGGAGTACGAGAATCTAGTGCTCCACGGCTAGAGCAATTAAGCGTTTCCATCATCAAGTCTACCTCTGCTCTGCTCTGCTCTGCCCTACCACCACCATCACCATCACCTCCACCCCAACCTCCATCCCCCGAGACCTCTTCCTCACCGAAGGTTGTAGATGTCCAGAGAGTCGGTCCGTCAGTCGAGCCATGTCTGCAATTGAGCCATCCATTCATCAATACGAGTCCACTTCGGGCAGGCATCGAGGACCACCACCATCCGCAGCGAGGTTACTGGGTGGGTGGAAATGGATGCAGTTCTGATAACGAATTAAAGGTGAGGGAAATGCCTCGAGGTGTCGAGCCGAGAAGAGGTTTGGTAAGACGAATTGTTAAATCTAATGAGGATGATGACGCTTTGAGTGCCGGCAGGCATTCGGACGCCGACATGATGGTTGTTGTCAGCCACCGGACAGACGATCGACGACGAGCTGAGTCGAGGAATCTCGAATAAGCAAGCGGCGATGGAGGCTGATCGCTGTCATTCGTCGCTCCTCCTGTGCCCACTGCTGTCACCCGACGTCACATCTGCCTCGAGATGACGAGCAACTGCCTCGGGCCCCAGCCAGCAGTAGTACGGTGAGGTTCTTCGGGACTCAGGGACACCCCCACACCCAAACGTCGAAGAAGCTCTCGATGCCACGAGAGGTCTCTCTTAGGACACACTCACCGAGCGAGAAGCCATTTTGCTCGTACGTCGAAGAGTCTGATCCCCAGGCAGAATCTCTAAATCACCACCACCCGTCGAGCACAAGTGTGAGATGTTGTCACTGTTACGACATCGAGCAGCTTGCTGCTTCTTCTTGGGACTTGACATTCTCCTCCTCGTCGTCCAGAGTTGAGTGAATCACTGAGAGATTGCAGACATTGGAACAGACGAGATCATGATCGCGCAGTTATTACACGGGAACATCGAAGGAGACAAATACTCCGACTGCCAGGTTACAGTCGATTGATGTTCTCGAGCTGACAGAGTGAAACATTGTTGTAGTACATCTCACTGAGCACAATCTTCCACCCACAAAAGCTCTAATTTCCATCAATTTTCATCAAGGCTGCTGAGTTGTAGAAAACTAATTCTCATAACCGAGACCGAGAAATAATGGAGGTAATTACAATACATCATCTCGAGATGTTTTTTCTATCTATACATGTCATACTTCACAGTATATCGAATTCAGTGTCTCACAGCACTTGTTATGTGTTGCCATGTGTTTCATTCCTTAACAACATTCGTATAATACTGTAATAAATCTCAACATATCTGGAATTACATATATGAATACATACAGTTGATGAAATGTATCATAGTGAACACCTCTCTTCTTTATCAATGCATAGATATCCATTTACATTTACCATATAAAGCATTGAGCCACGAGATCTGCTTTCTATTAAAAAAAAATAAAAAATCCTTGCCATGATTTTCATATACATCAGTTTTCATCGAATTAACCTCTCTATCTGTGACATCTATTGGATCAAGAACTTTCTTATACTATGAGTATTAGATCTGATATATTATAACCTCGTTCTAGCCGGACCAATAACTTCATGTATAGTACTAGTCTAAGCTTTGAGAGTCAAATGGTTCTAGTCAATAAGAAGACTTGAAAAATATAAAAGAGAAGTTTTATCTCATCAAATTTGACTTTTTCATACACCTCATCTTGCATGTTTGGAGATAGTTCACAGCTATCTTTTTGAATTGTGCTTGTGACTCCCTCTTTAAGTCTACTATTAGTATCATGCGAATCACACAATTCTTCAGGGGTGTATCATTTGCATGATTGTTGATTCTATTGATGACTTTTTCAAGTGAAATGTGCTACAATTGGCCGAAGATGAGAAAGAGTATTCAACCGATGATTGATTTGGATCGGTGTTGTTTGTTCATTCTTAGAAGAATTAGGTAGTCTATTGCCACATTCTGAAAATATGAAATCCGATAGTGCTCATTTTTAGACTATGAGATATGCTGATGTAATTGTGTGTTAAAAGAAACAAGATTAACATATGTACACAGAGTAAGTTATGAAATCAAATATGAAAACACTTCTGAATTAAAAATTAGATAGGAAAAATGAATTTAATTATAATGATTTTTATGAAATAAATTTGAAATTTAAAATAACACAAAGTAATTCATATTTTCATATTATATAATCATAGATTGCATTGTATGTAGAAATTAAATATTGGTCAATTTTGAAAATAGTTGAGATAATCGCTACATTTAAATATATATTGATGATTTATATTACAATATTTTTCATATTTATTGTTAGAAGATACAATGAAGTTTAAAATTTATGATATCAGTCTAGTTAGTACCACAATACTGTACATACTAAAGAATGAATTCAAGCGGTGCAAATATTTGATCTCATCAATAATCTTTAACAAGCGAAAATTTGTAAATCTTCTGTTTATTAAATCATATTTCTTTTGGATAACTTTTTCTAAATTTTTTATTATATATATGATAGGATGTGTTTTGCAAAATATCACTATATATAGCTCATTAACATGAAATTTTATTTTAATTTCTAGTTTTAGTTATATTAATATTTATCAAACCATCATAAATATTATATATATATATATATATATACAATATTGTTAAATTTTTTTTTTTCTTGCATTTTATCATGCCATAAGATATTGTTTTATGATCTGAAGAGAACAAAGAATTTATATGCAATTTGTTGATGACAAGCTGTTAAGTGATACTCTAGCTGCAACAATTTTGCAAAGTATTTTTTTCCTTCGATAGGACAAAAACGTGCCGTCAACTGCAGGGTTCGAACCTGCGCGGGCAATGCCCAACAGATTTCAAGTCTGTCGCCTTAACCACTCGGCCAAATTGACTTCACACTTCCGGAGGTGATTTAAACTTATTTGTAATCAAATTGATCTGAAGTTGTTCTAAATCTTTCTTTCTGAACGTGCTGATGAATTAGGCTAGATGCATTAAGAGCATGAAAGTTAACAGCAAGTTTCATCTTTTCAAATAACAGCAATTTTTTGAATGCATTCTGTCTGAGTTAATAATAATCATTTTTTTTTCATAACCAAAAATAATCATAATTGATGTTGCAAAATATAAAGTTTAAATAATTAATTAAATAAATAGAATTATATTATAACATATCTTGAGCTTTGGAAAGACATGATTCACTGAATCTAATAAACATGATATTGCATAATATGAGTAATATTGATATTCATATTGCAACAATAGATTGATTTTTATGAATTTAATGTGTGCAGTATATTACATCTGTATGATCAACCAAGTTTTTGTCAAAGAGTTTGTATCAAAAGATGAGTTCATATGAAGATTTTGAAATTCATGAAAAAGTCACTTGGATTTATTCAAATGTTGTAAATTCTAGAAAACGGCTTTGTTTTCATCAAAGTATATTCATATTGTATCATCTTTTTTTTTGAAGACAAAATACGTATACATGATAGATTGAAGATGCGCAACCTTCACAATTTAACGTTTTGATGATCAGCGATGGATCTTCTATTGATGTTTGAACTTGTGATAGTAAGGAAAGTGATCTATGAGTGAGTTTGAGTTGTACATGGATACATGGGAGTACTATGTGTGAATCATGCATCATGAGTAACCAACAAAACTCATTTTGATTTGATTGCAAGTGCGAATTAGACATTAATTCAACACAGTTCCGTAGAGCATGTAGTATCAAAACAAAATTAGAAGCATAGAACAAATTGAATTTCTTCTTAATATGTCCGTCAACACTCCATTTACTATAGGTGTAAATGAGAGACATACTATATTGAGATTTTGCCAAGGTCGCAAAATCTCAAACTATCAATCGTATAGAATTATAGGAATCTTAGAATATCGTTTGAGAATGGTAAAAATGCTCTCTTTTTAACAAAATCCTAGTACTAAAGGACTAGTAACCAACAATTGTGCATGTAGCGAATGTGTAGGAGATTGTTGGAAAATAGAGATACAACTTTTGTATTATTCAACTTCACCCCTAGCAACATATGAACTGGTATTAATCTTTGCTGTTTGGGGATTAAGTAGCTCGATTGAAGCTAAATTACAATTCACCGGCCGAATAGTGAGTAGAATTCATGATGTCACCATGCAATACCTCCCTCGGTTGAAGCATCTGTTGTACGTTGACTGTGCAGTTTCCTCGTCCTGCTGGCTTCAATAGCAGAATGTCTCATGGATCCAGGTCTTGTTATGTGCCAGTTCCCCAGATATGGCAGACGCTCATTGTTCCCATGCTGGTACTGTACTCCGGTAGCGCTATCAGAAAGCTCAAATGGCGTTTTCATGCTCTGAGCAAGAACTGCACCTTCGAAAGTTGATGCTGCAAGTGGAAATCGCATCAGCATTTCCCCAGCGGCTTTTCAACTCGATAGAGAAGTTTCTCAAGGGGATCCGTGAAATATGCTCGTAACAAATCAGAGAACATAAACTGATTCTGGGAACGCATGACAGTCTGAGAGCTCGAGAGTGGACCAAAAAAGAAGAAGGATTCATCCTCCCAAGACATTCATACAGTTCACAATTTCCAGGTGTACTGGATTCAGCTGATCATAGTCTTCACTTGTCATAGTGTGTTGTAGGACATTCGGCCATCTGCCATAACATTGACGGTTCCTCTATTCTTCGCTGTCCAGCAAATGAAGATACAGTGAATTGGATCAGGAGAAAAGTCGAGAACTAGAATTAACCGTGTGATTAGGATATCTCGTGAATTGGATACCAGGCGTAAAGAGATTCTTGTCATTCTCGCAACTGAACAGGGATCACCCCGTCAGTACCTTGCACCCTCCTTTCAGCTACTTCAATGGTCATAACTTCCTGCACTTTTCAGTTCTTCCACAAGGTCTTACTAAGACTTAAGTGAATAGTAAAACGAGGGCCAAGTAGATAACAAAATAGTCTTTAATGAATAGGTTTGCCAGAGTAAGTGATTTTATTTGTTGCTGTGTGATTTCCTGATACTTACCCATGGATCAGGCACCTCTATCTATTACATAATTGAACTATAGATTGTGATTGGAACTGTAATGTAATCGCTTTCTTAGTGAAAATCCGAAGTCATCTCAGGTTTGCAAGTGCAACATACGTGTGAATGAAAATGTTGACCACCATGTTAGGTAGCTTAAGGTCGCAAGCAGCCATCAAGTTACACAAGGGAGGGATGAAACCAAAAGGGTAGGATGGTGCTACGCCCCAATTGCTTAGCACTGTGAAATTTGTCATAATGCACATACGAGATTTCGAACCATCAGTCCGTGCAATACATGAGCATCCAGAGAATATTCCTCTCTGTAATTACTATCTTATGAATTGTACCAACTAGTTCTCCTTTGTAGAGATTTATTGGTTCCATGCTTCTTAAAATAAGCTATTCGATTACCAATATGCTGAAATTATCTTTCTTAAACAGTAACCGTTTTCCTTCAAACATGGTATCGGAGCTTCCAACCACAGAAGAGTTCTGAAGAGAGCATAGAACTTTTCCAGATTTTCCTTGACTCCATTAACAGCATTATGGAACTGTGTTCTCTCTGCAAGGGCATCCCGTATCATGTATTTACTTCGGTAGATGTAACCTTCTTTTGCAACCTTCTTCTGTTTGATAAAACTTCAAGAACGAGCGCATCGGTGGTAGCAAAAGAGGTCACCGATGCAACTGACAGTCGAGCAATTCTCGCAATTCTCTTGCGGGAATGGATCTCCGGTCAGTCTTGTCACCTGCTCAGTCCGCATCATAATACCCATAGCAATGTCCGCTTCTTCTCTCACACTCAACTTCATAATATACATTTGAAGTTGAGTATGAGAGGTCTTACCGAGGATCATTCCGATCAAATACTTCGGACTCGAACTTCCTTTCTCGATATGAGCTTGGTCCATCAGTACCAGAGTCACCAGACATTGTTCCTCTCCACCAACACACAATCCGCGAATCTTGGTAATTTTAATCCTCTCAACTATGAACTTCCAGAAAGACGAAAGTAGACTTGGCATGGAAACATTGCACTCCAGAAGTTCATAGAACATAACATGCGCTTCTACCTGAGAGTAAGTG